GGTAGTTCCGTATGTTACCTTCAGTATTATCGTATTTTCTGAATACCTACATCTACGAAACTATACCAAAATACAAACAGGTGAATAACTGTTCATCCATAAAAATCAATATTTCAGAAAAATGGTTGTAATAAAATACGAAGTACCGTAAGCCGATAAAATAATTTCCATTACAAAATAATTATTAACTTATATATAAGACCTTACTTAAGCTATTCATTAAGTTAAAGCTCAAACAATATAATTATTAATAAGAAAATGAATAAAATAATTTCAATTCATTTTCAATATTTGTAAACTTATCTTAATTAATTATCACAATAAAAATACCAACAATTTTACATTGAAAATGGAATTACCAATTGTACTTCTGAAGTTCAAGTATATTTATTTTCGGCTAAAAGACTAATCGCCTGTTTGTTGATTCATAGTTAAAATTTTTAGGATTGAGTTATTTTATACTCGTAAACCTTCTAACTTTAAAAATTTAGGCATTACCTAACTTTTGACATAATGATTTCCTTAGATTAAAAATTAACCTTAGATTAAAGATTAACTTTTGACATATTTTGTTTCGAATATTTATTTTTGGGGCATTCCCAATAAATTCCAAAGCCTACATCGAGGCCAATTTTTGACCCATCGGGGTACCATATAAGGCTACCGACCTCACAGATAACCTATCCATTCATCCAGTCTTCTCTGGAGGATAGTCCCACCATATACTTTTTATTAAAGTGTATATTGGATTATATCTGAGATCATTCATAAGACCCATGTTTCCTTAATTGAGTAGAGCATGGATCTCAATTTTTAGGAAAGCAAGCGCAGACCGCCCTGAGCATTAAACCTTTACAAACTAGCCCTCGCCTCTTGGTCTTAATAAAGATCAAGGGGCGTTAGGCACAGAAGTGTATTAAGAGCTGCTCCAGGCGATGTTCGCATTGCTCCAGTTGCCATTGAGCAGGCATTCCTTTGTAGACTATGTAGTCTGTCCGCAGTCGTCATTTGGTTGGCCTTATTACACCAGACAATAGAGTCGGAGGTGATAATCGGCCTCACTATGCTGCCGTACAGCCACAGGATCATACTGGGAAGCACACCCCAGTTGGTGCCAACCATACGACTGCACGTACTTAAATAATGTTAGCCATATGGCATACGTTACTAAGATGAGAGTTATACGTTAGTTTTTAGTCGATTGTTATGCCCAAATACTTAACTTCTTCGATAATTAAAAGAATCAGGCGTTACTTCGAAATCCACTATATTGAAGTTGTTAGAGCTAAATTTGCTTATCCGTGTAATCCGCGTAATAAAATACAATGATGTGTCCTGCCTAGTCTGAAGAACACCCACTTACCACCTTCCCTCATTTGAGTACACTATCCCCATCACCACCACTTCCGGCACCACTCCAGCGCCTTTCCTCCCAGCACCACCAAACTACAAACGACACACCACCCTTGATAATACGACGTGTGTTGCGCTTCTACACGACGCATCCTCAGATGAAGAAGACTCTGCGGAAGCTGACACTATCTTCGTCACCACTAACCCCATCACCACCTCTCCTAGCACGCTCTTCGCTTTTCACATGCTGCTATTTATACAACTCGTTTAGTAACTTTTTCAGGTCGCTGCTCATTTAGTACGTTACCGTAGAAACCACTTCACCTATGGATGCCTCGTGTAGAGGCAAGAAATGTATCGTGTTATCGAGAGTGGTGTGTCGTCCCTAGCGTGGCGGTGATAGGTGTGGTGGTGTGCTGGGAGTGGCAACAGGGATAGTGCAATCGAAGGGGATTGGGAGGTGCTCTTCAGACTGGGTAGGACACATCATTTTATTTCATTACGCAAATATGAGAAAATTATGTTCTAATAATTTCAACCATATGAATTGAAAAACACCCATTAATATTGAGCCAAATTCTGGTTTGAACACGTAATGACGTACGTTTTAATTTTCGTGCCATGTTCGCACTATTATTGTAACCTTGACCTCGACAATCATTCATGTCTTAGTCAAACACTTGTACAATTGCATCAAGAAAGAGGCAAGTAAGTCCTTGTTGCGAAGAATCACTTACTGACTTGTAAGCAACAAAATACTCGTGCTTTGACTTCCTAATTAGCGTCAACAAAACGTAATGTTAGTGATGAGAGTGAGTGAATTGGTTGGTGATCGGTACCCGGTGATAGGGTTTCGGTTGATTTCGGCGCCCCCCTCCCGCCAATGACGGCCCCCATTGCGGTGGCACCGCTTGCACCGTCCTAGGGCCGCCATTACTACTGGTTAAACACTTGGTCGATAAAAGAAAGAGATTGAAAATAGTAGCACTTCGCATTGTCACTAACGCAAACCAAAAAATAGACTTTTTATAAATTGTGTTATAATTTGAATTATTGTATAATGTAGATTTAAATTAAATAAATGCTTTCAGCGCCGTCTCTTGGTTGTATGGGTATTTATCATTAGGCCAAGTTTCTTTAACATATTTGTAGATATTAATAACCATATTTTTTCATTCTAAGTAAAACTAGTACTAAACCTAAAATTATAAATTAAATTAAAATGATATATATACATACTTTACCTACATGCATCTTTAATAAATTATGAAAAGTTTTTTTTTATTACAGTTGCTGTTTTTTAACCAACTTTAAAGTACACTCCGAACCAAGAAGTTTTAATTAAAACTACTAAACAAAATTCATTAATATTCTATTTCTATGCATATCTTTGGACTTTTCTTTTTCGGAGAAGTAAAATCTGTTGATTTATCTCTCGACGTTCTTGGTTATGTCTCCATCATTAACCACTCTTAATAAAAACAATTATCAACAAAACAAAATAACAATAATTAAATAAACAGCAATTACTAAAATGGCCTCCCGAATGTTGGCGAACCCGTCTTGCCCTTGCAATGTTTTTGCCGGTAAAACGAGACATTACGACAAATACACAAGATGGAAAGAGATAGATAATAGATTGTCAACTTCACAGTCGTTAATAAGGTAAATGACCTTTTGTATCGCTGCTAGTTGACCGTACTATAGTACATTACATACATTCCATAACACCTCGGTGTATTCTACAGTTCTACTACCAACTAATATCAATGGATTCAATTTGTTTTCTCACAACACCTAACAAAAGCGAGTAACAGGCTAGTGCTCCTATTACACTACACTAAATCTGGGCCCCGAATTAAGGGGAGGCGTAGATCCTAATTAGAGACGTCAGTTATCACGTGATAAATATCGATATATCGCCATGTTTTGCATCATGTAGTAGGGTAAGAGCCAAAATTTTATTACTGGACATTTTGACGGCAGTAAAAAGACAAAAGCACATGTTGCTTAATGTTTTGTATATTAAATTATGAAATATAACATTTTAAAATATATCGAAATTGATACGAATTCAATACTCTAAAATAAACATCGATATTTTTTCCCAAGCCTAGGTACTTAATGTCAGAGAGCGAATCTTGGAGCGGCGGAACGTCATGCCACCTGACGATAATGATGATAATAATAATGAATTTCATTTACATTATACACCATTATTTTAATAATAAATAACTTTAAGCTACAATCCCTTGTTTTATTTCACACTACGCCCTTTCACAAAAATTATTTCGACTCGCTCGTATTCTACTAAATAATCTGACTAACCGAATAAAAATACGCACGAGGCGAAATCGGTATTGTGGGAGCGATTCTATTATCGTATTAATATTTTATTATTATAATATATAACAATAGATAACAAATTGTTCAAAATTCCAAATCCACCCGCATAAATATGCAACTATCGATTGCAAGTTCTTCAAGAGAATAATAATCGAATAGATTCATTAACGATTATACAACACCACATCATCAAGCTGTCAAAATTATCAAGCTAAATTTGACAGAGTATAAGGCCAGCCCCATACGTACGGAATTCCGAAACGAAATCCCGAACGCAGCAAGTCCATATAAATTCAAGGACCCGCTACACACGTACGGTAATTTTCCGTACGGAATTTTCTCAGATTCGAGATTCCGTATGACCGCCTGTGTGTTCGGAATCCCACACGGAAAAATGCCGCTCCGAACACAAGTAGCATAAATTCCATACGGAACGCGCACAGTGTACGTAGCACGACCGACCGAAGCGAATAGATGATCCAGTATATGGAGTATTATATTTTTCATCATGAAGAATACTTGTTGTGTTCCGCATAACGAAAGCAAGCGTATTAACTTTATATCACATGGTTTTCCAAAGTCTGATATAGTACTCAAAAGTGGGTGAAAAATATTAATTGTGCATGATAGAAGCAGCCCAGCTCAAAGGAGCTGCAGAAGTTCTTTGTGTATCATAGCACATTATTTTTAAGGAGCTATTTACACCTGCACTTATATTAAAATATAGTAGAGAAAAAATAGTTCTGAATAGGCTTGTAATTTGGCTCTCTTAACATAGTGCTGGCTATCTTGTAATCTTACGGTGTTAAGAGGATGCACCCAGCAACGGCGGCGATGTGTTTTCTTATTAGCTAGATACAGCAACAATACAATCGCAATATCGTAGTCCATATTTGCTGGCTGAATATCTGTACTCAATGCCTAGCATCTCACAACTGAGCCGTGTTATTCCGAACGGGAAAAAAACGGATGTGTGTGATATATGTACGGAATCCCTAACCGGAATTCCGAAACGGAATTCCTTATGTATGTGGCGGGCCTAATACTTCAATGCTTTAATAAAACGTCAATTTTGTATTATTGTAGATTTAAATATTATCAGTCAAGTTGTTATCTAAAAAAAAAGCTAGATTATCATATTACAGAAGAGCATAATCACATTTTAAAATTGATACATTGATTATACAACCTGCTCATTGAAAATATTGTAAAACTTACCTACATACCAGCATCTATATTATATTAAAATGTCTGGTCGTCAAGCATTACTATTGTCATCATCCAATTGCCATGGATATGCTATGTTAGAATTTGCTAAAGAAGAAATTAGTGCTTTTTTAAATAAGTGAGTAAATTGATGCTTTAGACCTAGTTATAGTCTAAGCTAGGTACATACATACCTATCATCTGAGGTTATATAATTAATTACATATTATATGTAACGTAAAATGCTCTAATTTGACCTACCTAGCCTCACATTACTTAAACCGATTAGGTATTTGGATTTCATTATTAGGCTATTTTAGTTAGAGATTTCTATAGTACGATTTTATCCCATGGCAAACGCTTACTTTTGTTTCTGGCAAACAAGTTGTGAAATATCTGAAAACCAGAATTGTGCAAATGGTGGTCGCTGATATTTTGCCTGCTCTCTAAAATTTCTTTGTGGGAGTATTTTAAACTATTTTTACAAATTTGATGTAACCATATTAAATGCAAAATAGTCTTCTATACTTCTCTCTAGGTTTCGGTCTTCTAAAACTAGTTTAAGTTGGTAAAATCAAGAGGCAATTGTATTTAATTTTTCATCTCTTGTATACCAGTTAGTTAAGAGAATTTTGTTGTACTTGTTTATGGGTATTTCATAACGGAACCAATTCATCTCCTTTATAGTGAACTGTACTGCACAAGCATTCAAAGAAAGTTGAACACATGCAACTGCATTATGTAAGAGCAAAGCTAGGTAGACAGATTTAACAAAAAACAGTGTTGAACAATGAAAATCATAGTAATACAATATCAGCCGTGTACATCCAAATGATAAGTAATAACCACACTTCCGCAAGTTAGACATCAGCATGCCCATATAGTTATTGTAAACTAAGGATAAATGTAATAATGGAACTTTAATTTCAGGAATAATATAAAGGAATTGTTATTTGTACCTTTTGCTCAAAACAACTTTGATGATTATACCAACAAAATTAAAGGAATTATAGATCATTGGGGATTCTCTGTAACTGGATTGCATACTTATCCAGAACCTAAGAAAGCAGTTAGCTCTGCTAAGGCAATCTTCATTGGTGGTGGAAACACATTTTTACTCCTTGATAGGTTATACACTCACAACTTAGTTGATCTTATAAAGACCAGAGTGCTTGATGGAAAATTAGCTTACATAGGAAGTAGCGCTGGAACAAATGTAGCTACTAAAAGCATTCATACAACAAATGATATGCCTATAATATATCCACCATCTTTTGAAGCCATTGGATTGGTGCCTTTTAATATCAATCCTCACTATACTGATAAGAATGAAAATGAAATGCATAAAGGTGAAACTAGAGACCAGAGAATTAGCGAATATATTAGCATGCCTCATGCAAATCCAGTTTTAGGATTAAGAGAAGGTTCTATATTACATGTAGATGGTAATTCATTAATTCTCAAAGGAGTTGCTGGTGCTGTCTTGTTCCAAAAGTAAGTAATTTGAGTTATGGCCTAAAAATTGCTATGAATTAATAAAATATTCATATTGAATTGAAACTAATTTCAGGGGAGGAAAGAAAACAGAATATAGTGTTGGACAAAATATATCATTTTTATTGGAAGAACAGAAAAGTTATTAAATTGTATTTTATAAACCTGTACCTACATATTATTTTATGACAAATATATTTATAATGAAGCAGAATTCATATATAAATATAAACAGCTTGTTAAAAGTATGAGAATGTAGTTTTTCTATTGATATCAAATTCATTTCATAATGAGATAATCTTAACTATTTGACAGTCATTTAGAACATGTTGATAAATAATGTTTCAATGTTTATCACTGCACTACAAAGATCACATACGTAATTTACTCTTAATAGTTAGAGCATAGTGTTTGAACATACTTCACTGTTTAACACGTTCCTGAAACAAAGTATGATATGTTCCCCATTTTCAAAAGTACACTTTTATTTCGTAAACACTACACTGTTGCATAGTTATGACTAATGATTTGGTCTTTGTCAGCCAGTTACTGGTTCTTGCATCAGTAAAGCTCGAGCAGCATGGAATAATGAAGGTTGTGGTGTTACACGAGATTGGCCAGTCCGTTCTGCTGCTGGTAAATGACATAAATATCTTCGTAAAGCTAAATCACGTCTTGCGCTTAACCCACGCGTAATTTCACAACCAGATCCAAAAAGAACTGCTCGCTGCCTTTTTCTCTTTTCTGTGGCAACCTATAATGAAATAGAAGTCATATACAGGGTTATTTTACAAAATATGGCCAAATTTGGAGAGAAGGTTCAGAATAAGTAATGTAGGCAAATCGTGAAGAAAAATTAATTCAAAAAATCTCAAACATTCTGATCTTTTTATTATCAAAACACATACCTGTATTGAAGCAACTGGATGCAAGGAATTAACATCTGGTGATACATTTTGTTTTTCAGTGTTCTCAGATAAGCCATTTTGTATTTTATTTTTCTCAGTATTAGAGTCTATTTTATTCTTTTCTATTTGAAGAGTCTCTGCATTCTTATTTAATATGCTCTGTACTGTATCTTTGCCAGCCATATGTAAAGACAGACCAAGCCGGGCCAGTACCCTTTCAGGTCGCCAACGATCGCGCGCACCTCCAGTGGGGGGAACTTGTTCGCGTCGGCGCGCATCAGCAACCAAACTTGCCCAGTCCACGCCCAATGCATCACCTAACCCGGCTTAAATGAAATTGGAAAAAAAAAATATAAATAAAATATTTTATAAATGATCTTTAATAACGAAATTTAGTTTAAAAACCCAACCCCCACTCTCTCATCCCTATAAGTCAGTGTGGGAGGGGCCTGAAGGGGGGAATGAATAAAATATGAATTTATATACATGAAACCAAGAGCCACTCACGATAGCACTAAGCAACATTGTGTTCGGGCGGTTTTATAACTTAGTCGAGCTCGAATAGCTTAAGCAATAGTTAAAAATGACTGCTTAAGTAGTTGATATAAGTATTGTTTGAGCAGTACGTGTGGCCTACATTTTTGGTAATAAACAAACATTGTACATACACAGTTGGCTCAAATTTTAATAAAATATCATTTCAAACAAATAACCTACTTCAGATATCGAAAAATATGTATATTATGTTTGTTCTTTTTTTTTAAAACGTTACTAAGATTTTCTCCTGTATCGTGGGGGCAGTTTACAAACATAAATTTCACGAGGACAAACATCCACACCCGGAACAATTTCTTGTAGGCCATGCAAATACTTGTTCCGTGCGGCATTCGAACACGCGGCCCTTAGCGCTGTAAATCATTGCTAAGCCACTGCGCCACAGAGCCGTGTTTCGTTTACATCAACGATCATCAGGTTATGCCATGAGTATCGTTAGTCTATCGAAGACTGGAATCAGTGTCAAACGTACGAGACATCTGGTATTTCAATCGCTAATCTGCCTCCAAAGTATGGTACTCATCATCATCCACCCGTAAAAGTTCAAAGCTGTATATTGGCCGTTCCCGTTATAAGGATTTGCCTTAATCTAACGCTCATACCTATGACGCTACTACCCACTATCCGTCACCGGTCTGGGTAATTTACAGCTGGCAAAAACGATTAATCCCGCCGTGCCGCCGTCTATCTACATCCAGTAAGATTTTTCTCACATTTAGCATAGTCGCCTCTTACGAGATCCAGACATATAATACGAGCGATATGTGCTGCAGCGGACTTTTTACAGACTGAAGATGAAATTTTTGAAGTACAAAACACAATAAAAGCCACCTATTGTACAACCTACCGGAGGGGGTAGTACGTTTGCGGGTTAGCGGACCCGCTATCTATATATTGAAACAGATACTTTGAGAATTTAAAACAATAATCATGGGATAAACCCTGTCACCCAGTGGAGTAGACAAGAGTACGGACTTCTATTTGACATCATCATGTCACACCTGTCTCGCTTCTTTCACATCTACGCAGACTTTTTGGTTAAGGGTACTTTGGGTACTACATTAATTTGGATCTTTTTCGATATATCGCCATTTCGGCAAACTTCCGTCTAGGGCGTCCCTTTCAGACTCTGTCAATCACTTCTGCAGCATAAATTTGCTTTATCATTCTTCCCTCACTCATTCTTTCTATGTGTCCAAACCACCGAAGCATTCCTTTCTCAAAACTCGTTACAATATCTTCTTGCTAAGCACACGTTTCTCTTATCACACAATTTCTCACCCATAACTCAGAGTCAGCCCTAACATAACTCCTAATGATCGCATTTTTACAGCATTAATATTACTTTTACGTTTCTTTTTCCACGCTCAACTTTTACTACCACACATTAAGGTAGACTAACACAGCATTGCGAATTCCATACATAGTTTTTATTTTTATATTTAATTTACTCTGTGACCTGCATTCCCTCTTCGTTCTTTATCATTGTCATGTCTACCGTCTCTACTAAACACACTTCCTAAAACACAAACTCATCCACTTGCTCGACCTTTCTATTCTAATTTCAAAATTGTTTTACTGCCTTCTCTCTCAGAAATCATCACTTTCGTCTTACCTGTGATCACTTTCATGACCGTTTTTTAATGATACGTTCATTAATATAACTGTTGTGGCTGGTGAGGAAGGAAAAGGGGAGATCTCCCGCCGGGCAAGGTGTTCTGCCCGGGGAGCGCCCAACACTCCATGTGATAGTTCGGAGATGTTCTATAATATACTGTTTCTGATTCGGAATGTTGATAGCGTGATTTAGACTTCGGTGTATTTCGATTGTGCCGCGACGACAACGCCGCTACATCACCCCCCTGCTCAGACCGGAGGTCGATAGTGCAGTCGAGTTGTCGACGAATGTGCAAGCGCCAGGAGATTGCCTCGTAGTCTGCGGTGAGTCGAGAAGAAGGCAAGTAATCTGCGAGAGTGCCGTGAAGCAGAGGCGAGCAGTAAGGCTCAGAGCCGTGCCGAACACTGTATGGCGCAGAGAGTAGCTTGAAGGAACAGGAAGCATTATTATTCCAGTGTCGCGATGAACCTTGTGAAGCTAGATGGCTTGCAGGATATGAACACTGCAGACGATATCTGCTCGGGAGCGAATGGGTGGGGTATTCTATGACGACGATGAAGCCTGAAGTTTCCGAAGGTTGTCGGTTGCGTGTTCAGATCACGTCGGGGTCACCACTGTGGCCGTGGAAGGAAAAGGGGAGATCTCCCGCCGAGCAAGGTGTTGTGCCCAGGGAGCGGCCGACACTCCGAGTGATTAGATCGGAGATGTTCTATATATACTGTTTCTGATTCGGAATGTTGATAGCGTGATTTAGGCTTCGGTGTATTTCGATTGTGGCGCGACGACAGCGCCGCTACAACCGTCATTTGTAACTCGCTCACCGACGATGCAAATATAACTTGATCATCGGCGTAAAGTCATTTGACGGCTAACTCCTATTCTTAACCCACATTTTTCGACTTTCAAAATTTTCAAACAAATATCCATGAACTGATTAAACAGACATGGGAGAAGCCACGTAACTCTGTCTGACTCCTTTATGGATGCCAAACCAGACCGTGCACGCCCCGTTGCTCCTGAAAATCTCGCTATAGAGATTCTAGTCACAAGCGCTAGATGAGATTTTAATGCCTGTGTCAGTCCTGCGCTCAACCTAAACAAGGCCAGCGTTTGCCATAAAGCAAAGCCCTGTCCACTCTGTAAAAGGCCTTTCCAAGTCTAAAAATGAACAGAAAACCATAATTCTGAAAGCATGCTGTAAACTACAAGAAAAGAAAGACAAAGCTATAAACTACAGCTTGTTTTATAATTGGGATTTTACATTTGTATTTAATTTGTTTGAAAATAAAAATAAAACAATTATGGATGAATTTTAAAATGATTAACTTTACAACACCGCCAACCAATTAGAACTAGCTGTACGTTAATTGAATGGCAGTCGTAGCCAAACACCATGTACACATATTTACTTTATTTTACATTTGATTGAACGTTATGTAGGAATCAGGTGTCAACTAATACAAATAACAAACAACTGAACAAAATCGGAATAGTGCCGTGTCAATCGAAACATGCTAATCCAGCGAAGATAATATCGTTATTTCGTCGGTCGATTGTCGGTAGTCAGGGTGAGCTGAATGATGCCGTACATAGTTAACAAAGTAGCTAAATGTAGATATCTATATGCCACAGCATCCACTTACCATCAGGTGGATTGTGTTCTCGTTTGTCACCCTTATTATATAAAAAATATATATACGCAAATGTGTGTGTGTCTTTTTTCTATAAGCCCATCCATAATTAGTGAGAAAAAAGAAAAATCCTTTTTTTCGAAGGCATAAACATGTTAATTAACCTATCAGAAATATGTACAAGGGTCCAAGGGGAATATATATTAAGAAGGAAATTTTGAGCACAATTTTATAGATTTTGGTAATTATAGTCATGCCGCGACCTTATTTACAATCTCTTTGTAGTCCTACAGAAATAAAAATGTAGTATTATATGCTTATAAAATTAAATTGCATGCATTCGTTTCGCTTTTTCAATCACTAGATTATAAATTAATTATTGCCCCTCATTTACATCATTATGTTCTAATATTAATAATGTCAAGTACCTTTAAATTTCTAGCATTGCATCATTGCCTGCTTTCCTTGCTTCCGTGCATAGTGTCAGTGACTTATGTAACATAATTTTAAATAATAACGTAGACCTGTGCTTTGCTGCGGAGGCAGGGCAGACATGACAAAAGCTCTGTCCAGGTGAAAATGTTCCAATGGAAGTTAACCAACAAAACAGTGGATATTACGTTGGTGCGGAGTGTGCAGAAAGGTTTGTTTCATAATTTTCATAGTTTCGACTTAGGGAATCACACGCTTTACCGTCATTAATCTTGGAACATTATATTGATGGAGAGTAGTAATCCGATTAAGAGCGGCGATTTGTTAACCTCATCAGTGCACCTGTGGTAGCAGCGTCGACGAGTTTGGGCTCCAATTACTTTCATTTAAGAAAAGTGCTGTTAAATTTTCACGACACGGTTCTATGAACGATGTCATCCGAAGAGCTCTTGTCCTAATAAATATTTCCACGGTTTAAGAGCCTAGTGGAATATTTAGGGACGATGGCAAGAGACCCGACGGTATGGCATTGGTCCCTTGGGAGAAAGGTAAAGCCCTAGTGTGGGATACTACCTGCGTAGACACTTTGGCAGCCTCTCATCTTAGGGGTGCCGTTTAGAGCTAAGGTAGCATCAGAGGCAGCTGAACTAAGTGGCGTAAATATGAATCTCTGAGGAGAAATGACTACATATTTGTACAGTTTGCTGTATAGATCACGTGCGGTGAAGTTCCTAAAGGAATCTGCGACTAGTCGTAGCTGGGTGATAAGAACTGGTTGCTGGTTCGTTTTTCGCTCAAAGGCTAAGTATAGCAATTCAGCGAGGAAACGCAGCAAACGTTTTCAGCACGATACCAAGGACAGTAGGACTGTATGATAATTTAAGATAAAAAAAATATCAAGTTTTTTAGAAAAATAAATAAATTACCTCGTGTTCTTTCTTCTTCAAGTTCTCCATCAGATATTTCTTCAAAATCTAAATTAGTCACATCTTCATCTTCTTTACCTTCCTGTGATTCTTTTTCTTCGCCAACCCCACTGGTATCCTACACAAGAAATTAGAACATAGTATAAAACTTTTCTGGAACTATACCACAAATAATCAAAGTAAGTACCTGTGTGGATTCCTTTTCAGAGCCATCAGGTTTCATAGCAATATCATCCGCTGTCTGTTCTACTTGACTATCTTCATCCATATTTTGATCTAACATCTAAATGTAATAAAATAAAACATTTTTAAACTGACAATATTAAAACTTTGACAATAGGATTTTTACATACATCATCCCGTTCTAAAATATCATCAGGATCATCGCTTATTTCACTGAGGTCGTCAGGTACAGGTTTATCTTCAACTTCAACTTCCTCATGACTTGAAACAGCCGCAGGCTGCACAGGAGGTGGAGTTTCTTTAACTGCAGTTTCAGGTTCCGTTCTGAGGCCACGACGTTTATTGTTATCATTTCTGCCATGATCCATCCGCATTCCACGATTATAATCATCTAAAATGTTTACCGATTGCTCCTTTAATATAAATAATGTATACAAAAATCAAAATAATGGCAATATCTGACCATGAACACGACCACGATGTGGACCAGGAGGATGACCACGATGATGCCAACCTTCCATATCAGGATCTTTATCACCCCATTCAGTCATCTAAAAATAACTCCTAATTAGACATAGAATTAAAATTAAACAACAATATACACCAAAATACAATATTTATAATATGCATACCAATGTGAGGAAAAGGACACCCAAGGAAAATATGGGAAAGGATAGGACAAAAGTAGTTTCTTTTTCGGTAATCAATAAGCTCATACTGGTACAGTGTTTTGTAGCAAACAGTTGCCTAGGACAGAAAAGGATGGAGATAAACAAATATTTTGCTAATAAAATAAAATTATTTCATATAATACCTGAGGGTCATGAATGGGCCAATGCCGGTCCCTACCCCAATCTCCTGGACCTCGATAATCTTCATTATCCCAATCTTTATGGGGATGTATATATCCTCGCTCACCACGGTCTATTGAGCCTGAACGGCCTTCCCATGAATGATCACGATGTGGCCGACGATCTTCATAACCTTAAAATGCAAAATAGCATGTTTTTAAAATAATAAAATTATACGATCATAATCTTGGCTGTAATTATCCCAAGTTTTTTAAAGTTTAATTCTAAAATAAAACTATTTAATTTATAATTTAATACCCACCTATATCAACACCACGATGATCGCCCATTGGTTCACCATACATTCTTTCTTCATCCTCGGGGTATCCACGAGGTGGCACAGGTATATCATATCCAGGATCATAATGTCTTTCTCTGCCTTGGATATTATAACCAGGGGATCTATCACCTTCTCTTGGGACACCTTCAAAACGGTCGTCTATTCTGTCGTAATGTTCTATGTTATGACCATGATCATATTGACGTTCTACGCCTAATTCATAATCACCTGGTTCTCTTTCTAAGCTGTTTAATCTGTCTCTCTTAATAGAGCGATCTCTTTCAAGTCTATCTTGTTTTCTCCCACCTCTTTCAGAATGAGTATCTTGTCGATCTTTTGAAGCAGTGGAATTTTTATCACTTTCTAATGTTCTATTTGAAATAGCTGCTAAAGCTGCTAAACGTTCCTCCGGTCGTGGTAAGAGCCTTTCCATAGGTTTATTTGGTTTTTCTAAACCTTTATCAGATCCACCTCTTCCTCCTAAGCCTCTATCACGACCTCTGCGTTTATTATCATCTCTTTTTATATCTTTATTTCGATCTCGTCCTCTATCCTTTCTGTCATGCCTATCTTTTTCATCATGTTTATCTTTTCTTCTTTCTAATGATCTGTCTTTATGATCACGAACTCTATCTCTATCTCTACTTGCAGACCTCTTTCTGTGTCTTTCGGAACTGCCATCTCTTCTTATTTGCTTTTTCGGAGAGACTGGTCTACTTCTTTCAGAGCTATCTTTTCGTCTTGGATCTTTAAGAAGGGACCCATGTCTACGTGGTGATCTAGATCTACCTTTTTTAGGAGATCTGCTGCGTCCTCTGATGCGATCCCTATCTTTTTCTCTTTCTTTGTCCCTCTCTTTTTCTTTGTTTCGATCCCTATCTTTATCTCTATCTCTTACCGAATGTGGTGATGTACTTCTATTCCTTTCCCTTCTTTGAGGAGACTTAGCATGCTTTGATGTATTTTTTGTTATAAGACTCTTAGATGTAATTGGTGGCGTACCACCAGATTTCTTTCCTGGTGAAAGTGATTTTTTCCCCAGTGCTGTCTTTGTAAATGTTTTTTTCTTATTTATCTCATTTTTCTTTAAAACCTTGTCATCCTTTTTAATACTGGGCTTTTTTGACTGACTTTTATCTCGTTTTAACGAATCATTTTTGAGTAATCTCTTTTTGGATGGTGTTTCACCGTCTGATGATGAACTAGAATTCCTTTTAAGTTTTCCTTTTTTAATTTTTCTCTTTGCATCTCTAAAATATAAAAAATATTTAATGATTTTTTATATTTACATGAACACTACACATTGATTAAAACTACTTTTACAGATTTTATCGCGTTTAATTTTAATTATTTTTAATTCCCGATGTTTCGGGAGCTTTCCAGCATCCTGTAGTCTCTGCCTACTCCTCTGGGTGACAGGCGTGAGTGTTTATGTTTATTCCACCAATTTATTGACTCATCACGATATCTCTGGAACCATAAGATCTGAAGAAAAAGGTCTAAAAATTAGGTAGGAATATTCCTTTTGACCAGTCGAGATCAGGTAAGAATGGATTTTACGAAATTCTACCCGCAAGGAGGGTTGCGGGGGCGTTAGTAAAAAAAAATCACATTTTCAAACTATAGCTTTTATGGGTATAAAAGTTGGCCAGAATATTTTTGGCATTAAAAATTACCTAGAACGCATTTTATGAAGTTCCACCACAAAGGGAATTGCGGGGGTGTTAAAAGAAAGTTAAAAAAAATAATTATAGTTCGGGCTATAATGAATAATAAAAATGATGAATGTTTTGTGTGTGCTTGAATGGGTCCACAGATGGTTTAGATTTGGACTTGGATTTCGACGACGACGTTGGATTTGCTTGTCGAGATCCAGAAATCACGCAGGCGGATTGCTAGTATTAAATATTGTAAGAGAACTGTTATAACCTAATATAAGAAACTTGAAAATGGATATGACATAATGAAAATAGAGTGGAAAAGATTTATATTATGGTAACACTTTTAACAACCCTATAATATAATTCTGAAAATTCAATTAGTTTTTTCGTAAATAAAATATGACAATCTAAAAAAGAGATATAGTAGTTATACTGGCTGTCCCATAAGTCTGTTGTAATTTTAATTTCGAATAAAATGTAAATGGCACGCAGAAACGGCGCGCGGGGTGCGGGGGGAGCACCAACGGTCTTTCGGAGTTCAGTCGGAGCGTTTTAACAGAACGGACCGTGCATATCGTGTGCGTGAGTTTTACCGCAATAATGATTCGGCCACCGTTGCGCGGCGTAAATTTCGAGAACATCGCAATTTACGAACGTTTCATGACTGTCCTAGTGTTCAAACGATTAAGAACTGGGTTCAAAAGTTCTAGGAGACTGGTTCTACGTTGGATAAACAAAGATCAGGCCGACCAAGGACATCACGGACGGAAGAAAACATCGACGTAGTGCAAGAGTCAGTTCGTGAAAATCCTACCCAATCTAATCGTATGCATTCCAGAGTAATAAGCATGCCCATGATCAACGTTACAGCGAATTTTAAAGATAAGAAATTTCATATATACAAAATTCAGGTAGTACAGGAATTAAAAGATACTGACGCTACCTGTAGAGTTTAACAACGTGTTATTCTTTGATGAGGCTTACTTCCACATTAACGGCCATGTCAACAGGCAAAATTGTCGCTACTGGAGTAGCGAAAACCCACGACGCAAACATCAAAGGCCCTTACATAGCCCTAAAGTCACAATAAATCAGCTTAAGGAATATGAGATACTAAGAAATAGATTTATAAATACTGAGACAGAATTAAAAGAATTAAGAAAAGAAATGAAGGTACTTCAAGAAAAAGTAGATAAAGTACAAATATTGGAAGCGAAAGTAGATAGTATAGTAAGAAATGATGAAAAATTAGTGAGCAATATGATTAGGGTAAGTCCAACAACTGATAAAAATGAGGAAGCTTATTTACAAAAAGGAACTCCTCAATCATTTGCAGCGGCAGCGAACCGAAACCAAAACCGGGTACTTAAAAATAAGTTCCCAACGAAGCAAGCGAGTGTGGCCACGAAACCATCAGACAAATCGACTTCCGTAATTAGCTCAATTGTGAAGGAGATACCCGAACCAAAGCAAGTAAGAAATAATTCTGAGCAAATAACCGAAACTGAGGATATAGAATCTCAAAAGGAAGGAAACTGGATAATAGTAAATAAAAAGAAGAAAAGCAGATACCCTAATACTGAGGTAAAAAAAGGCGGAAGCACGAGTGCAGTAGAAATCAAGGGGACTGAACGGAAGAAATTTTTACATGTGTGGCGTCTCCATAAAGAAACCACGGTTGAAAACTTAGAAAAATACGTGAAGAATATATGCGGAGAGGAAGTACCAGTCACAGTGGAAAGAATCAGGCATAAGACGGAAAGGGATTATTCTTCCTTTATTATTGGTGTACCTGAAAGCAGTTATGACATTTTATATCAATCGGACAATTGGGCTGTAAACATCGAATTCAGTGAATGGGTATGGTTTCGTAGAACAACCAAAAAAACACTCAATAAATAGCACAGCTATTGAAATTTACTACCAAAACGTGAGAGGTTTACGTACGAAATTAGAGGACTTTTATGTAGGCGTCTCATCTTCAGGAGCAGATCTATTTGCCATTACTGAGACAGGTTGTAACAAATCCATTCACGACGCAGAACTTGTTCCGCCGGGATACACAATGACCTAGTCGATAATGACGTGTTGCTCAAGAAGTTAGCAGCTGTTGGTTTCACACCACATCTACTTAATTTTTTTGCCAGTTATATGAGGGATAGGCAGCAGTACGTAGAATACGCGGGACACAGATCGGAGCCGTATTTTACGTGGTCTGGTGTAAGTCAGGGAAGTAATCTCGGTCCTCTGCAATTTATAATCATGATGAACGATTTGCCCAAAGTCGTTAAAGAGGCAAATTGTTTAATGTTTGCAGATGACCTTAAGTTATCTCTGACTGTGAAGGAAGAAAGTGACTGTGGACGGTTACAGAATGCCATTAATAGTGTAGCTAATTGGAGCAAGGAGAATCTTTTACAGTTCAACATCAAAAAATGTGCTACAATCACGTTTTCACGTGCACATAGGCCTATTGTACATAGTTACAACATTGATGGAATGCCAATGGTCCGGGTCACAGAAGTTAAGGATTTAGGAGTTACTCTCAACGCGGGGCTAACGTTTCGTGATCACATTACTAAGTGCTGTAAAAAGGCTTACAGAAATTTAGGGTTCCTTTTACGAACTGTTCGTACTTTCACAAATGTAGCAGCCATTATCGCCTTATACAACGCTTTAGTGAGAAGCCAATTGGAATGCAACGCAGTCATCTGGGCTCCGCATGAGACTAAATATAGTCTCATGTTGGAGCGGATACAAAACAAATTTACTAGGTTTTTATATTTTAGGCTATATGGAGTGTATCCTTTTTATCCTATTATGTATCCAACTTTGTTTGTGTTGGGCATGGTGGGATACAACGAACTACGAGTCAGGCGGGAGCTCACGCTTGTGTCATATTTATTTAAGTTAATTAGGGGTAAGGTACATCACGCAGATATATTATGTTTACTGTGTTTGTGTGTGCCGGACAGATATGTGTGGCGACGACGTCGGCCTCACCTGCTGGCCGTACCTCGTGGTCGCACTAATTTATTGAACGAGGCGCCGCTGACACGGGCACTTCGCACTCTCAACCTTGTAGCAGAGGAGACAGATATTTTTATTTGTACGCCGAATGAGTTCACAAGGATAGCATTATATGTTATTTGTTATAAGTAGGTATTTGTTATAAGTATATATATGTTTACTGATGTGTGCTTCACTATCGAATTAGGTAGTAACCTGTAATGATAGTTGTAAGTTGTGATTGAAAATAAATAAATAAATAAATAAATAAATAAATTTGGGCGGCTATGTCAGCGCATGGCATCATAGGCCCATACTTTTTTGAGAATGAACAAGGTCGCTGTCGGTTACTGTTACTTCAGAGCGGTATGTCGCAATGATCGAGGATTTTTTTAGATTCAGAGTTGCAGAATTTTCCAGGTTAAAATACCCGGACCTGGTTTCAACAAGATGGTGCAACTGCCTATACCTCTAACATCGCTATGCCCGTCGTCCGTCAACTTTGCCCTAACAAAGTGATATCTCGAAGAGGAGACATCCCCTGGCCACCACGAAGTCTCCGGATCTCCACACTCAACATACGAAACAAAGCAGCATTAAGCTGCTATTTTACGCTGGTATTCTGTGAAAGCGTGGTCCTTCCTCAGTCAAGCCGACCCATTCGTGCTACAACCATAATACAGCTGCAGCGTGGCTCTACCACGTACAAAAACGTACCATAGTTACATTAGTAGGGAAGCCCAAGAGGGGATTTTGGGATTTACTAAAGCGCGGCAGATTAACATACAGGGAGGTACCTAGTACCCCATTAAATACCTCCACCAAGTATTAGCCCCGTATACGTGGCCGCGCGTCAAGGATAAAGAATCAGATTAGTAAAAAAAATTGATCATCTGAAATTCTCGAGCGCGTCAGATTAAGGTAGGGTAAGTTAGTTATATCCTAAAAAGGGTATATTCCACTAATGTGACAATTTTCGATTGACGATAAGAAGTAGGTGGGTTGCAAACTTGTAATTAAAAACGTCATCTCGACTTTCTCGAGCGTGGCTGTTTTTTTTATTTATTTTGAAGGCAATAATTCAACGTTCAAGAATAATATATAATCTGACGATTTCCGTAAGCCGAAGGAAAAATAATCGATAAAGTTTAATGCGTGCAGCTACGTGATGCCGGTATTTACCTTCCCGCGTTTCTATTCCTCTCTTACTCTTTCTCTATCTATGACTCTCTCACTCCGTCCCCACTTTGAGCAGGCTTCTGTCACTCTTGCTACCTGCGTGAAATAATTACCTAAAATCGCGAGGCGCCCTGGGTGTTATACGCAGTCGTGGCTAGCGCGTTGTAGGCGATTCAATGTTAAAGTTTTAACATTGAATCGCTGTTTACGTAAATAGTTTTATGTAAATACTTGTTGAAATAGTTTTTGTTTAGTATTTAGTATATTTAAATGTAGGTAAAAATAGTTGTATAAGTTTTAATATCCTTTAAAAATGATATATTATGTATATTACCTATTTGATAAATTACAATAGCAAAACGTCGTTCCTACTATAACTGTTGCGTGGATGGATACTAAAT